AAAGAGGAAGACCCCCAGTGAGATGGATTGGCAAAGTGGCAGCATCGATGGATTCAAGCGTGGCAACAATTGTGAGGTTGGCCCAGGACCAGGCTGTGTTTCGTTCTGTTGTGCATAGGGTCGCAATGAGTCAGTACCCACCCGATGGCACCTAACAACAACTACAAACAAGTAAGGTAAAGATGCACAGATAGGGGAAAAGAGATTTCATGCTACATGGTGATCTCGAAGGAACCGAAAAACAGAAGCCAAAGAGACAAAGACCTGCTGCCAGAGCTGACAGAGAGAGAAAGACTTTCCCTAGAGTTGGCACCCTGTATTTGAAATTCTAGCCTTCTAAACTGAGAACTAACTTTGTTTAAGCCAACCACTTGTGGTTATTTCTGCTACATAAGTGCTAGATAATGCAGACATTGGCACACAGGATGTTTTTGTTGTCCCCACCTCTGGGGGCAACAATGACCTCCCCTGCTCTCAGACTACTAGCTTCAGGTGGTGCTGATCAAAACCCAGACTCCAGTGCAGGGTAGTCCCTGGACCCAGACTCCTGGACATGAGGATGTTTAGGAGCATATATGTGGCTCCTGTGTAGCCAATCAGAGCAGATCCCGGGACAAGGGGAGAACAGTGTAGCCAATTAAAGCAGATCCTGGGGCAAGGGGAGAATAGTAAAGCCAATCAGAACAGATCCTGGGGCAAGAGAACAGTGTAGCCAATCAAAGCAGACCCTGGGATGAGGGGGAGAATAGTATAGCCAATCAGAGCAGACTCTGGGATGAGGGGAGAATAGTGTAGCCAATCAGAGCAGACTCTGGGAAGAACAAGATCCTCCTTTTTCTAAGGCCTTTGAGGGAGGAGAGCAGGGGGTCCACAGGAGGGAGCACTGTGGGAAAGTGACACCATCTCAGGAAAAAGAGCTGAAAAGGGCAAGGGCAAACCCTTAGGGCACAAGGAGGCCTGAGTCCTCTGAGCCTGGGCCCAGCTAGCCCCAGGCTTCCCAGTTCATGACACGCTACATTGCTCTTCCAGCTTTTGTTAGTGGCTGTGTTGTTGATTCCAACTCACAGCTATCCCATATGTGCAAAGCAGAACTCTGCTCCCTAGGACTTTGGAGGCGGATCTCTAGGCCTGTTTTTGAAGGTGCCTCTGGGTGGGTTCAAACTGACAGCCTTTCCAGTTGGTAGTTGAACACTTAGCCATTTGTACCCCTCAGAGATTCCTTGAATGATGGTCTAGAGGCCTGTGGGATCTTAGAGGTGAAACTGCCTAGAATCTAGACCTCTTTGAATTCTAGATGTGAGCTTTAGATTCCAAGTGCTGGGATTTCCAAGTTAGGAACCTGTACCCTAGATCCCAATGAAGCCGGGGAGAGGGAGTGTTGGGACAAGGGTGTGGAGGAGGAAAGGGAGGACAGAGCAAGGTGTGTATGTGAATCCAGGCGGACTCACCTGGCCGGTCTTCTCCTTGTTGATGAGCAGGCGTGGGGTAGAGAGGGGTGCCCTGTGGGGATGACAAGCTGAGCGGTGAGGGCCCAGCCTGGCTCTGCCGGGTCCCCGCCGCCCAGCCCCGACTTCAACCTACTTGCTGATGAGGGATGCAAAGGGCTGCACCTGCAAGGAGGTGCCCATGATGATGAGGAGGTCCACCTTCAGGAAGTCCTACAATGAGAGGGGAGGCCAGTGAGGGCTCTGTGCAGCTAAGCAAGCAGCCATGTTCACCCTCAGCCAGGCTGCATCTCCCCAGGCTCCCACCCACACCTGCAGATGGCTGGGGCAGTGGCCTTCCCAGGACCAGGGTGCTGCCCCCTTAAGAGCCAGCTCAGAGCACAGGGGACACTTACTGACTGAATGCAGGAGAAGAAACGTGCTGGGAGGTTCTCACCAAAGAACACAATGTCTGAGGTGGAGAGAGATGGACAGACAGACACAGAGACACAGACAGAGTGAAAACATGGACAGGGAGAGAACACAGGCAGGGGTAGAGGGCAGAGCTGAGGGCTGGGCGGGACCCCCATCCTCCCCTCATGGTGGGTTTGGGGTGCTCATCAGGGAGAGACAGGTGGTTGGGGAAGGTCCTAGGCCCCTCCCAGAGCTCACCAGGCTTCACCACGCTCTGACACTTCTCACACTTGGGAACCGCATCGGAGAAGATCTTCTCTGGGCATAGAGAATGGGGAGGGAGAGACGGCGGTCAGAGGCGCCTGCCCAGTCCTGTATGTCTCTTCCTCCACCCTCAACGCAACACACCCTCAGTCATCAGGGATTTCCAGGGATGTCTGTCCTGCTCAGAGAGGACCACTCTTCTAAAGACCCATCTCCATTCCCAACGCCACAGAATTGTAAGCAGTGGCTCCCAGCAACAGGCCTCTAGCTAGTGAATGAAAACACTGAACCAATGAACGAATGAAATGAGATTCTAGCAACTCTATTTCACCCTGGCGCCGAGAGGCCCGCTGCCAGAGAGAGAAAGAGCCTGCAGACAGTTGGGATGGGGAGATGCTTTCTGCTCTCAGGCTCTGCAACAGACCCCACCCCATCCTCACAACCACCCTTCTTACTGCTTATTCATTATGGAAACATTTCTGTCGCTGGCAGCCCCAATTGTAACTCATATGTCTCACCGTTCATTCATTCCACAAACATTTACTGAGCCCCGTCTTGACGCCTGCCACTGACTTTTCACCTATTTCTGCATTGGCAGGGGCAGTGTTGTGGGTGATGTATACGATGCTGCTGTCCAGTGGCAGATAATAGCGGTAATGGTCATTGTATAGTGCCCTCCAGCTGTGGGCAGTTGGGCCATTCAGATGTCCTCACTTCAGGAGACGGTCAGCTGGCATTTTATCAGAAAGGGCACACTCCAGAGGACCTAATGCCAGTGCTGTAGCAGCTGCCCATATCTTGCATGGACAGCAGAGGCTTTGTCAACTCAGCATAAAGAATGCCAGAAATGGTGTCCACGGGTAGGACAAATGGCTTCTTAGTCAGCACAATGCACGTCAGAAATAGGCTGGCATGGCATTCGAGATATGCGGGATGAAAGACTTTTTCCTCTCGGCATTCTGTCCTTATATGAACACGGACCATGACTTTAAGAAGTTCTGCATTCTGTAGCCCTAGAGACGTCCAGGCTATCATCCCGAACCATGTCAGTGACCAGCTGCAAACTTCACTGTAGAGTTCACTGGCTTGGAGCCAACGAATAGTCACATGGAATCCTGCGTCTCTAGGACAGGGCTGGCTGCCCGGTGTGGTAGCCACAGTCACATTGGGTATTTGAAATGTAAATCACAAAAAATTAACAAAATCAGCAGTTAATGGTCCTCAGTCAGACCATCCACACTGCTAGTGCTCGAGGGCCACAAGGTGGGTTTGAACTGCAAAGTCAGTGGTTCAAACTCACCGGCTGCTCCTGGAAACCCTATGGAGGATTGCTATGGGTCGGAATGGCCCACATTAGACAGTGCAGACATGGAATATTCCAGTCATCTCAGAGTTCTATTGGATGGTACTGGTCTGGAATAAGTTGCACTTACTCCGAAGAGCCTTCATAAGCCAGAGCTCATAAAAGGACAAAAAGCTGGGCTTTCATAAGCTTCGGAATGGACAGCATCCCTGGCCAGGCTCGTCTGTGTGGGTGGTGGAAATGATCGGGAATTTGTGGCAGGTCTGACCTGGTTGTAAGCTGGCCAGAACACACAGGACAGCACTTAGCAACAACAACAAGGTGGTTTGGGAGCAGGGACTCCCAGCCTCCTCCTCAGTTCTTTGCAGTGTACTGTCATCTACTGGGGAGTCCTGGTGTGGCGGTGTATAGTCAGCACTGGATTGCCAACCACAAAATCAGCAGTTCAAAGCCATCCACTGCTCCTCAGGAACCCTAAACAGGGTTGCAATGAGTCGGAACCAACTCCACAGCGCTTAACACCAACAACAACATCACCTACTGGGAGTCCTGGTGTGGCATTGTAGGATAGTTACTGGACTGCTGACCAAAAGGTTCACAGTTCAAACCCACCACTCACTCCTCGGAAACCCTATACAGGGTCACTATGAGTTGGAAATGACTCGATGAAACTTAACAACAACAACATCATCTACTAGGAGTCCTGGTGTGGCACAGTAGGAGAAGCACTGAAAGCTCAGCAGTTCAAATCCACCTGTTGCTCCTCAGAGACCCTATACAGTGTCCCTGTGACTTGGAACTGACTTGATGGCACTTAACAACGACAACAGCTACTAAGCAGAACCAGAGAGTCATGCAGGTTAGAGCTGGCTGAGATCAAGCTGGCCACAAGCACCTGTTCCGTGTGAGACCCTGTGACTAGCCTGAGGAGCAGACTGTGAGCTGGAGCGGTCTCTCACGGATGACCTCTAACCCCTCACCTTTCATCCAGCTTAGCGTGTATGCCTGCCGGCAGAGGGGGCTGACACAGTGCGATGTGTAGAAGGTGCCATGGGCCTCCACCAGGTCCTCCGGCTCCAGCCCGGCCACTCGCTCCAGGGTGTCTATGTTCTGGAATGAAGATAAAAGGAAGAAGGTGAGGAACAAACTATGCTCAGCGTGGGCCAGAAGCCAGGGGTAGGGAGTTGAAGGCAAGCGGAACTTTTGGGGCAGGATGCATGTGAAAACTATTATTTCATCACTGTGGTGCCACTGAAGGGGCAAACGTTAAACCCTCACTCAATTTACAAAATAAAATTTTGGAAAAAAAAAAAGCTATGTTCACTTGAAGGCAGGGACCCAAAACTCAAATGTTTATAAGGTCAGGCCCCCAGCCACCATCATCAGCCCACTATAGATGGCCTCGTCCTGCAAACTTGGGCCACTTGGCTTTCATTTTTAGGAACATTTGTTTTATCAGAATTTGACAGCTGTCAGCAATGTGTTGAAATAAATGTATAAATTCACAACATCTCCATGGTGAATGGCAGTCCCTTGGGCAGTAGTGGATCTGCACAGCTGTCCCTGTGGTGGTCCTGCCCACACATTAACATGAGTGAAGGGGACAGGAGGCTCTATTTGCCTTTAATATGACACCTGTTTTCCCACTGACTGGCCAGAGTTCTGAACTAGGGTCTATTTCACAGGTGGCATCTGTACGTGGGCTTTTAAATATTTGCCTATTTAAAGTCATTTTATGGGTGGATATGAGAGGACTTCAAACAAATGTTGTGAGAAAATGGAAAAACTGGAATGAAAACAAGAGAATGGAATTTTCCCAAGAACTTCTTGAAGTCCCCCTCTTACTGGTAATCATCACAAAACAACCACTTGCCTTAAATGAGTTCTGTATGGGTTGTTCGTTTTTTTTCCCAATGATTTATTTGATTTTTGTTGCTGTTGAGAATATACACAGCAAAACACACCAATTCAACCATTTCTAGGTGGACAATTCAGTGACGTTGGTGCCATTTTTTGAGCCGTGCAACCATTTCCACCCTCCTTTTCTAAGCTGTTTCCCCCCATTCACATCAACTCTAAGTTTCCAATCCAATCTCTTTATCAACTTGTGCTCTTTTAAGACAGAAAGACTTTCTATATTAAGCGAACTAGAATGCCCTTCTCTCTGGCACACGTGCCCTCTCAGTTTTCTCCAATTTGCAACAGCCCACTGAGGAATGCTACGGAGGCAGGCACTGACGGAGGGTATTGGCAAACACAGATGGCCCCTCACAAACGGCCCCCAGAGCAACGTGCAATATTCCCCAGAGACTCCGCCAGCAGCTGAAAGGGTCTCCTTTCAAAGGCAGGCGGGGCCCCAGCTGACCTCGCTGCTCTCTGCCAAGAGATCAGCTTATCACAAAGAACGTGCTGACAGGATTCCCTGTCCCCAAACTCCAGCAGTGTCCCCTTCTCTACTATAAATCCTGCTGTGGCCTTTGTTACCCACTCAGCCTACTGAATGGCTCCCAGACACAAGTACGCAATTTGTATGCAAATAACTAAACAGCATGAGAAAGAAAACCCCAAACCCCCCAAAAAATGAACAAACAAAACACCCGCTGTCCTATAGAGACCCTCTAGGGCACAGTTAACACGGCTCCTTAGCGTTTCCGGGGCTGTAAAGTCTTCATGGGAGCAGACAGCCTCATCTGTCTTCCTCAGAGTGGCTTGTGGGTTTGAACTGCCAACCTTGTGGTTAGCAGTCCAACGCCTAGCCCAGAGTGCCACCAGGGCTCTTTATGAGAAATAAGTAATGAAAATGCCAGTTGCTGTCAAGTTTTTCTTTGGCACCACTTTTGCCAGAGGAACTACATGCCAATGAAAGAAAACGAGGCAGATCCGGCTGAACTGACAGGAAAGGGTCTCTTTAGAAGGCCAAGGGCAGCGTGTTTAGTGCCATCAAGTTGGTTATGACTCATACCAACCCTATATATCGAGTTTCTGAGGAGTAGCTGATGGGTTTGAACTGCCCACCTAGGAGTTCGCCGCAGTCAGGTGCTGATCCTACGGTGCCACACTTGAGTCTTCAGTGTGTATGTTGTTGTTGCTGTTAAGTCCTGTCGAGTGGATCCCGACCCATAGCGACCCTGTGTAGGGTTTCCTAGGAGCAGCTGGTGAGCTTGAACCGCCCACCTTGCAGTTCAAATGGCTTTGTAGTCTGGCGCATTAACCCACAGCGCCACACCAGGACTCCTCAGTGTGTACAGGATGTTGAAAAAAATACACATGAGTTTGTGTATGAGGGGTTTTCTAAGATCCCTAACAAAGCCATCAGGAGTATTTTGGGGATGTTGAGGAGATGAACCCTAGTCACCCCATCATGAAAATAAGGTGGTGGCAGGTGAGGGAGGGGACCCCAGGGATGAGGCAGGAGTGGCACTTAGGTTCAGACTAGGCAGCCCCTTGCTGACCTCAGCAAGGGCCCCAAAGTACATCCATAGTACAGGTGAGGGGGTGGGATGAAGTGGTCATCCTTTAATGCCATGTAATGTGGTAATGCCAATAGTCACTGAATGACCTAGTCTTTGGAACCTGCCCAAGTCGACAAGTGAGAAGTACGTGTATGTATGTTCCTCTCAAACAATACTTTCAAGTTGTTTCTCTCACTGAATTATCTTTGCGGCTGAGGAGAATGGTGTGGTGGCAGTTCAAAGCCAAACAGAGGAGCCTGGGAAGGCAGGCCTGGCCATTGGCTTCTGAAAGGTCACAGCTGTGTAAACCCTGTGGTGTAGTTGTACTCTGCACACAAGCCACAACAGACTTTGGCTCTTTATTATTAACTTAAATACACTAAGACCTACTTCAAAATACTTCACCAAAAACCAACACAAAGTGCTTACAATGTATTCCATTGCAAAGTCACAGATTTTGAACAGCACGAAGTTGTTATGTGGGTGTGAATATACAGAGGGGGCCTTTAAAATGTTTGTGGAAAAAGTCCATTAGCTTTTCATTCCATTTTTCCATAAATTTCTTGAAGCCCCCCTTGTACACAGGGATCTTCCAGACAAGAAGTTACGTGAAAAAGAGTGTAGCCAGGAAAAAAAGAAAAAAAAAGAGTGCACTCGAGAGACCCATGTCTAGCACAAATAGCACGTACAGGCGGCCGCTGAGTTATGATTGTCTGTACATCCCAGAGTCACAAACCAACCCCAGAACCCCCCACCCCAATGCCATTGAGTTGTTTCTGACTCAGAGTAACCCTGTTTAGGGTTTCGGAGGCTGTGACCCTTCCCAGAGGCAGATAGTCTGGCCTTTCTCCCTTGGAGAAGTTGGTGGGTTTGAACTACTAACCTGTGGTTACAAGTTCAGTGCTTATCCTGCGGCGACACTGCACTTCCTAACCCCATAAAGACTATTATGTCAAAAATCTGAGGCATGCACAATGGCTCATGGAAATTGGTAAAGTTATCAGTATTATTCTAACTATTGTTCAAGATGGTTTGGTGTATCTGGAAGTACAATTTAGTGCACTGTGTTTTATTCATAGAAAGGTTTTAAATATACTATACTAAGACAAACAATTGACTAACTGACCTTAAATATGAACCTCACTGTTATAATTTACATATAAATCCAACGTAAAGACAGATTTAGGACTGGAACTCATTTGTAATCCGGAGACTGCCATATAATATATATATATAGTTGGTTGGTTATGTGCCGTGCAGTCGGTTCTGACTCATAGCGACCCTGTACAGGGTTTCTGAGGTTGTAAATCTTTACAGGAGCAGAAAGCCTCATCTTTCTCCCGCAGAACAGCTGGTAGTTTCGAACTGCTGACCTTGCGGTTTGCAGCCCGATTCGTAACCACTATGCTACCAGAGCTCCTTAATATTTATATACATATAGATGTATATATTTAAAGCATATGCTTATATTTTGTGTTTATATGTATTTTCATAAGAACTATAAGTCATTTGGAGTAGCCAATCCTAGTGTGGAGTTGTAGAATGCACTGGACTGTTGACTGCAAAGTTGACAGTTCAAACTCACCAACCGCTCCTCGGAAACTTGATATAGGGTTACTATGATTTGGAACTGACTCGATGGCACTTAACAACAACAACCTGAGCTGTTTTGTGGTGGTGATCACAGCCACTTGAGTGACAGACAACTGTCCTACTGCCTGAGGGGGAACTGGTGTCTTGAGATAAAAAAAACAGTATCGTAAACAAATTAGAAAGTGCTGCATTGTCGTGAGACAATGTCGTGAGACAATGAGAATAAAGTGAAGACAGAGTGTTCTGGAAAAACTGGGTCAGTGACTTAAATCATAGCTGATGGTGATTTAAAAAGGCTGAAAATGGAATGTGGGACCCTATCCAGTGAAGCAGAGACACCAGAGATGGAGGCAGAGATAAGGACATGGAGAGAGGGAGCAGCTGAGGACTCTAATGGAAAGAGAGGGACTGAGAGCTGGCGGCCAGGAGGCAGGCTTACAGAAGGGCCCTTTGGTGGTATAAATTATTATACATGCCTGAGTGTTTTAAAAAAAACAAACAACTCAAATGAATAGAAATACTGTTAACTAATCGCTATGGGTCGGAACCGACTCGACGGCACTTAACAACAACAACAACAATGGTACATGGAGAAGGTTATAATCCCTGTAATGAAACAAAGTGTATGATTTGTTGAATGTAAAACTGATGATCTGCCCTGTAAACTTTCATGCAATTCACAATAAAAACTTAAAAAAAAAAAAAAAAGGCTGAAAAGTATGAAAAAAAACATTTTGTGACATGTGAGAGTGAGAAAACTTTCTCTTTAATATAGTTTATGTACAAAGTTGTTTTGAATATGGCAGTATTACCAACACCATACATTAAATAATGTGTGAGGAAGAATGTCTGACTACTTCACATTTGACCCCAGAATGCACTCATGTTGGCTTTAACATTAAAAACAAAACAAAAAGAAAAAAACCCTACACAGTTGAAGCAGTGTTACGGTGAAGGACAGAGATTCTGCCTCCGAGACAGATGGGATGTGAGGACTTAGTAGACCTGGAGAGTTACTGTGTCCTGGGCCTTGGTGGCTCACACAGTGGCTCCCCCTCCCCCTGTGATCTCATCTCATGAACAGAAATGTTATCTGTCTGCTGCTTCTCCAACCCACAGACTTGGCAGCTCAAGTCCAATCAATCGATCTCATTGGGGGTCTCCCTTTTTTTTGCTGACCCTCTACTTTACCAAACATAATGTCCTTCTCTAGGGAATGGTCCCTCCTGACAATAAGCCCAAAGTATGAGAGACAAAGTCTGGCCATCCTGGCTTCCAAGGAGCCTTCTGGCTGTACTTCTTCTAACACAAATTTGTTTGTTCTTTTGGCAGTCCATGGCACTTTCAATATTCTCCTCCAACACCATAACTCAAATATATCAATTCTTCTATGGTCTTCTTTATTCACTGTCCAGCTTTCACATGCATATGTGGTTATTGAAAATACCATGGCTTGGGTCAGGCCTACCTTAGTTCTCAAACTGATTGATACGTTTGCTCTTAAACACTTTGAAGACATCTTGTATGGCAGACTTATCTAATGCAATATGTTGTTGGATTTCTTGACTGCAGCTTTCTTCACTACCTTCTATGAAATTCCAAAATGCCTGCCACCTCATGTGATGCCTCTGGTCGCCCTTTTCCTGCTTAGCTGTGGACCTACTGCGTTGAGACACCCTAGACATGACCATTGCCCCTCTCCTCAGCTCCCTGAGGGCAGGGCTGCTTGTTGGGCCCGCTCACTGCAGGCCAGGTCTGCATGGGCCACCAATCAGTGAGCATCTGCCATCACAGAAGCTGATGCTGGTGGTCAGGATTTCAAGGCATCACGCACTAGCCTTCAACATCTTGTCTGAATCACATCCTCTGAATAAAACGGACTCTCTGGGAGGAAGGGTCAGGTTTATCTGAGGCCTGGGCTCCTCCTGGATCAAGAAGGATACCTCTCCTGCCCCCAAGCCCCTTAAAATTCACGCTAGGCCAAAGCATCTGCCCTGATTTGGGAAGAAAAAAAAAAACACAAAAAAGCCCAGTTGCAAAAGACTTAAGTCTGCCCCCTGCTGGCTACTTCTGAGGCTGCAGGCTCCAAAGTACCAGAAAAAGCAAGCTCTTTAACTGCTTTTAAATACAACCTGTTCTTGTTTTATCATTTGTGGCTCTGAGGTATGGTTTATAATGTACGTGGTATCACTGCAATAGAGTATTACGAAATTTCAACACACACTCATAACAATGGTTCCTACTCAGAGTCGAAACTGTGTAGGGTTTCCGAGGAATGGCTAGTGAGTTTGAACCACTGACCTTGCAGTTCAAACCGACCTTGCAGTCCAGTGCTTATCCTACAGCGTCACACCAGGACTCCGTAACAGTGGTTGTTGTTAAGTGCCATTAAGTGGGTTCTGACTCAAAGTAACCCAGAATAAGGTTTCCAAGGAGCAGCTGGTGGGTTTGAACTGCCGACCCTGCAGTTAGCAGTCCAGTGCAGATCCTACAGCGCCACACCAGGACTCCGGAACAATGGTAGAGAGACAAATATTTTTGACAGCTCGGGTGTGAGGCCACATGCCTCACCAGTAAGTTGGTAAGCCAGTGCTGTGTGCTATCGTAGCCTGAAACCCCGTGGGAGAGGCCCCTGGCTAACCACATGGTGTGGTGAGCCATGGGCCACGATTATACCAGTTTTGTAAGATACAACATCACCTGTTGGAAGCTGTCAGCGTGTACTGAGTTTGTTAGATAGTCACCTGGGTGTCATCTGTTGGAACGTCACCCTCACACACAAAATCTAGGCTGTGTGCGCGCAGGAGGGTGGCACAGTGGGGCAAAGCTACTCTGGCTTTGCTTTACAGCAGGGCAAACTGAGGCTGAAGGGGACGTGGCCCAGTCAGCCGGCCTCCCAGTGCCCAGCAGGCCGGAGCCTCGCCTACCTGGGTGTAGCAGCGAAGTAACAGTCCTTTCTCCTTCAACAGGCGGATGAAGTAGTGGCAGACGGTGGGCTGGAAGGAACAATCAGAACACTGCTGACATGTATAGAGGACGCTTCCCGCGAGACTGAGCCCTGGAACTGTTGAAACTTGGGGGATCATCACCATGACTTTGCGAATGAGAGACTCCTATTCTCCCCATTTCACAGATGTGGAAACTGAGGCATGGGGAGCGTGACTGTTTTGGCCCAAGGCCACACAGCTGGTAAATCGCAGAGTTGTGAGTCATACCCAGGCAGCCTGGCTCCAGAGGCTGGGCTTTTCTATGCATTACGAACTCATTTAAGCCTCACAGGGACCCTCTGAGATCAGTATTGCTATCAGTATCATTTTACGGATGAGAAAACTGAGGCACAAGGTCACAAACCAGGAGTTGAACCCAAGCAGTCTGGCCCAGCAGCGCCCATGTACTTAATGACTGCTCTATGCTTGTCTGAAGGGTCCTGGTGGGGGTGGGAGACTTTCTGTGCCTGCTCCTCACCAACCAACCCTTCCTGTTCCCCTCCAAAGCAGATCTTACCTTAAACTGCCCAGGATAGAGCTCCTTGGCCAGGGCAAAGAAGGGCTCTGGATGTTTCTGTGGGAGAGAGAGTAGTTGGGCAGAGACCCCGTAGAGGGGAGGGCTGAAGCCAAATGACCCCATTCCTTTCCCATCAGTCTTTCCAAGGGGAACACATACCTTGAAGTAGCCAATCTCAAAAATGGCCTCAGGGTAGGGTAGATGGTACTTCTCCAGATTGGCATAGAGGCCGGTGGATGGGGAGCGGAAGTCGGGGATGCCCGCAGCTAGGAGACGGGGAGCAGTGGACAAGCCAATTACGGCTGGCTGGCCCCACTGTACCACACCGACCCTCCTCCAGACAGGTCCCAGACTTCTCCCCAGCCCCTAGGAGGGAAAGGGAGGTACACTTACATGTGGAGATTCCAGCTCCCACCAAACAGATGATCCTGCGGCCTGGAAGAGAGAGTGGACATTTCATCTGTCTGCTCTGCTCAGCTCCCACAACGTCAGCACCCCACCTGGTCCTGCTGTGGGGTGGTGGGTGTCAGCCCTTGGATAAGCATTCCAAATGCAAGAGCTCATACATCCTCCCTGCCAACCAACTCCAGGTAAAGCTGGTGGTGTTAACGTCCACATTTTACTGATGAGGACACGGAGGCTCAGGTAAGATAGGGGAAGGGCTCACACTGCCAAATCCACTGTTGTCAGGCTGATTACAAGCAGAGCGGAACTGTTCCTGAGGGTGTCCAAGACTATAGATCTTTACAGGGGCAGACAGCCTCATCTTTCTTCCCTGGAGTGGCTAGGGGGTGTGAACCACTGATCTTGTGGCTAGCAGCAGGGATGAAGAATCCTGTCTGAAACAGTACCAACTTAAGACGCTTCAAAGGAACCCTGGCGGCACACTGACTAAGAATTCCGCTGCTAACCGAAAAGCCAGTGGTTCAAACGCATCATCTCCTCTGGGAGAAAAGAACTGGCCAGGTGTGCCCATATAATTGTTGTTTAGTGCCTTTGAGTTGCGACTCATAGTGATCTGTGCCTAAGACTTCTGAGCTATAAATCTTTGTGGGATCCGAAAGCCTCGTCTTTGTCCTGCAAAGCAGCTGGTGAGCTTGAACCACTGACCCTGTGGCTCACAGTCCAGCGTTTATCTAACAGAGCTATCTTAGGAAAGTCTGTGGGGGTAGCTCTACTCTGTCACATAGGGTCACTAGGATTTGGAATCAACTCGATTTGGGAAGAAGTCACCTGGGGAGCTTCTCCTCCTGAAAAGGTTTTAGACAAAAACATGTGAGAGCTCAGGTGTGGGTGGGAGCAGGCAGAGATATTCTCTAAGAAGAGCTGTAGACGATTATAAAAAAATCTCAGGCAATGCCTCATCTTTTTAGACCCAATATTGGAGGGCTCTCTGTTTCTAGCCTATGGTTCACATGCCTTTATCCTCTGACATTCTTCCTTCTTCAAACATGCGTCTGTCTGCTACTGGAGGCTGAGGTTTTCGGGTGACAAGTAAAGACCTGCTACTCTCGGACTACCCAATGGGCAGGGAGTGCAGAATGCATTTCGGAGCCTGGCTCCCTGCTCATGGCTGTGTGACCTTAGACAGATTTTAGCACCACTCTGGGCCTCCGTCTCCTCTTGTAGATGGGCCGATCTTATTGGCCTTGATGGAAGAGTTAACAGGAGAATAAATTAATTCAGGGAGAGCTTAGGCCAGTGCCTGGTACCATGCAACCACTATATATGCACTTGATATGATGCTTTGAAAAGAGCTTTGGTAGCATAGTGGTTACGAGTCGGGCTGCTAACCGCAAGCTCAGCAGTTCAAAGCTACCAGCCTTGCCTTGGGAGAAAGATGAAGCTTTCTGCTCCCGTAAAAGATTTACAGCCTTGGAAAACCGTATACAGGGTCTCTATGAGTCGAAACCAACTCCACGGCACATAACCACCACCATCACCATGAAGCTTTGAGGAGTCCTGGTGTGAAACCGTGGGATAATGCACTGGACCGCAAGGTTGGTTTGAACCGCAGAGTCAGTGGTTCGAACTCACCAGCTGCTCCTTGGAAACCCTATACAGGGTCTCTATGGGTCAGAACTGACCTGACGGCACTTAACAACAACAACATGATGCTTTGAGGAGTCCCAGTATGACCTATAGGAAAAGGTTGGTAGTTTAAACCCACCAGCTGCTCTTTGGAAACCTATGAGTCACTAGGAATAGGAACTTCACAAAGGCACTTAACAAAAAAATGATTCTTTGAAGGAACCCTGGTGGCACCCAACTGTCAACTGAAAGATCAGTGGTTCAAATCCACCCGGGGCTCCATGGGAGAAACGACCTGGTGCTCTGTCCCCATGACGATTTGTAGCCTCGCGAGAGAACTCCGGGGCACTTCTAATCTGTACTTTATGGTGGCTTCAATGAGTCGGAATCGACTCAACGGCACATGACAATAACAACAATTATTCTGAGTCCATTGTACTAAACTTCTAGAGACCCATGATTCATAGAGTTATAAGAGTTACTGTTGTTAAGTATGGTCAAGTCAGTTCTGACTTATAGTGACCCTGTATAGGATCCCCGAGTGGTTTGAACCACTGACCTACAGTCCCACACCAGAATTCCTTGGTACCCCAAAAGAGGACAATGGGGAGATGTGGTGGTGGTGTGGAGGGGGGGAATGAGTCACTTCCTAAGCACACTGGGCTGTGTAGAATCAACCCTATTATTGCCTTAGCTGCAGGCCAGCACCTGTCACTGATACCCTGTCAGCTGCCTGTCAGCTGATGGCCAGCCTCAAGCCCAGGCGTCCCGTGAACTGGACACCTCTGTGGTGTCCTGTCTGAGGAAGGGCAGGAGGGTGAACAAAGATGAGGCTGGGTTGCCCCCAACTGGGCCCAGGGGGGATTCTGCAGAAGGCCGTGTAGTAGGAACACGTTCAGAACATGTGCTCTGAACTCAGGTGACCAGGTGCCAAACCCTAACCCTGCTGCTTGCCAGCTGTGTGGCCCTGTCCCAAGCCACAATCTCTCTGTGCCTCAGTTTCATCCTGTGTCCAGGCCACGCCTATCTAATGACCATACAGGTGTGACAGGAAGATCAACTGCGTGGACACCAGTCCAGTGCCTGGCATGCAGGGAGGCTCAGACAGGAGCCCTCAGGAGTGAATGATGTTAAAGCCCTGGGCAAGGACAGCGGAAGTATGACCTTTGTCTCCAAAGGTCAGAACGTGGCTCCAGACAGCTGCCTGGCTTGCCCTGGGGCAGGGAGCTCAGGGAGCCAGAGGCCAGGGAAACCAGAGGAGGAGTCCTTAACAAAAGGCTGTTCAGGGCCCTGAAAGGATCCATTGTTCCAGTTGAGGACTGGTGGGGGCGAAGCGCCTGGTTTCTCAGGATTTGGTGACCTCGACTCACAGCAAGAGATAGAAATTACATGGTGACCCAGTTAACATGCTCCCACACTCGGTCAGCTTGTACTGTGATGGCTCCTATGTTGTTGCGATGCTGAAGCTATGCCACTGAGGTTTCAAATACCAGCAGAAATCAAATGATGTGCGGCATTGGGCAAATCTGCTGCAAAAGACCTCTTTGTAATGGTACAGAGCGAAGATGTCACTTTGAGGGCTAAGGTGTGCCTAATCCAAGCTATAGTATTTTCAATTGCCTCAAATGCGTGTGAAAGCCGGACAGTGAATATGGAAGTCTGTAGAAGAATGGATGCATTTGGGTTACGGTGTTTGAGAACAACATTCTAAGCACCATGGCCTGGCAGAAGAACAAACCATTCAGTCTTGGAAGACATAGAGCCAGATGCTCCTTAGAAGCCAGGATGGTAAGACTGGGTCTCACATACTTTGGACATGTTATCAGGAGGGACCAGTCCCTGGAGAAGGACATCATGCTCAGTTGGTAAGGTGGGAAGTTCAGTGAAAAAGAGGAAGACCTTCAGTGAGATGGATCCACACAGTGGCTACAACAATGGTCTCACACTGACAACTGTGAGGATGGCGTAGCAAGGGGCAGTGTTTCGTCCTGTTGTACACGGGGTCACTATGAGTCAGAGCCTCTGGCCCCCAGCAACAACAACAGCACCCCCACACCTGAAACACGTTTCCTGTTCCAGGCTCTGTTCTAAACAGCTCCATCTATAGTCACTTTCTTAACTGATTAGTATCATCATTCTGGGACACACCCTCAGCAAGCAAAGCACTGTCATTCATCCAGCAATGGAGATGGGACCCAGGTCTGGCCAATCCGACACATGGTGAGTGGGCCAGGAATAGGCAGGGGACCCAATGTGGCTCATGGAAGCCAATCTCTGTCCTTTTGCTTGAAGCACCAGGGAGAAGAGGGCTAGATGCTAGGTTGGTGAAATGTAACAATTGGTGCACCTGGGAGCGATCTTCACACCTTCCCCCCACCCCCCCCCAACCCTCCCTGTTGTTAAGTATGGTCAAGTCAGTTCTGACTTATAGTGACCCTGTATAGGATCCCCGAGTGGTTTGAACCACTGACCTACAGTCCCACACCAGAATTCCTTGGTACCCCAAAAGAGGACAATGGGGAGATGTGGTGGTGGTGGTGGTGGGGGTAGAACCTCCAGAGTGTGAGTCTCTATGAAACAGAGAGTGAGTCTCTATGGCAACCTGGAAGCGCCTGGATCCAGCTGTGCTTGAAGATGCCTTTAGTTACAGAACCAACATACTTTTGTTTTTGTTTTTTTTAATGGCTGAAGCCAGTTTGAGTTGGGTTTCTTATGACTGGCAAACACACGAGATGTGACTGATTCAGGTGGTTGGGGGTGAGAAGTCGCTTTAAAGATGGGGCTTGGAGGCCTAGGGCAGGCAGGGGACTCACAGCGCTCGCTCTGCATGTAGCGGGTTACACCTTCCAGGGTCAGCTCATCTAGCAGCTGCTCCTTCTGGGTGCCCAGGCCCAGTGTCTGGGAGAATAAGTTCCGCAGGAAGTCCACTGGCCGAGAAGAAGAGACAGAGCGGTGGGGTGGGCATGCAAACAGGGTACACAGGGGGTCCCTGCCCCCACCCTTCCCACAACACAAGGTATTGCCACCAACTCCAGTGTTCCAGACTTCAAAGTTCACCCCGGGTGGAGACAAGGCGGGTATCACCTAGTTCCCTGCCCTGAAATCAACCTCCAGGAAGGGAACCCCAAAAGATACTCACTCTCAGCTTCTCCTCCACTGGTGGCTCCACCCTCAGTGTCTGAATCCGAGTCTGTGTCCTGGAAGGGGTGGGGGTGGGGGTGGCCGGAGGGAAAAGTGGGATCAGGGAGGGAGGGAAGAGGTGGGGCTGCTGGTGGGGACCAGGTTCTGGCTGGGGAGGCCTGAGGAGGCCTAAGGAGGTGAGGGCCAGTGAAGGACAGCGAGGGGACCTAGCACTGTAGCCCCTAGAGCATGGCCTTCTGGGAGTGAGGCTTCTGTGGGAGGGCTCATGGGAGGATGAACTGAGGAAATAAATGTGAGGTGCTGATTGCACCTGGTACAGCTCTACTTGTCACGCAGGCCCTGTGCCCACACCCTCACCTCATGTTGTTCCTCTTGTCCCCTGCAACCACCTATACCCCTCAGGGCCCTGCTGCCCCCTTCCCCCGCTTCTCACTGCCTCAGACCCCTTCACTTCTGACCGCCCCCTTTGTTTTTTTAAGTTTTTATTGTGAATTATGTGTTAGTTTACATGGGTGAACATTATCTTTACATTCATCCTATCTTATGTTGTTTCATTGCAATGATCACAATCCCCTGCATGCATCATCAAACAACCAAAGGGTACACCCTACATGCCTGACCCCATCCCCAGCCACCAGCACACAGCCCCTCTCCCTCCCTGAGTCCAGAGTCCCCAGTCTCTCCTTCTGTCCATGTCACCGTCTCTGCCTCCATCCCTAGCATCACTGCCTTCCCAGACAGGGTCTTGCACTTTGCTTTTCTCCCTTGATGGTTCCAGGGATCTCCGCTCCTAGATTGCAAAATCAGCTGCTCCCCTCCTTTCGTTACCAAACCTTTACCTTTCCAACACTCACTGTCAAACCTGATAGCAGTCCTTCCCTACTGAACCACAGGAGTCCTCTCCCCCCTCACCTTTTATCAACCCCATCCAGACAGGTTGGAAACAATTCAGTGAGGTTCTACCTTTCCCTGTATCCTCTGGAGCTAGGCTCCCTATTGAAAGCTTGTAAGCCAGTCACTTCTTGCCTTTGTAGTCCCCGATTTTGGGTAGCCAATGTCTAAGTTCCCCTTCCCTATCAACCCTGTGTACCCAAGGGGTGGGAATGATCCTCACTGTAAAGATTTGTCTGCTCCTTAGTCATACTGGATCCACAAGCATAGGTTAATGTCATCCACTTATAGTGGGTTACTCCTTTTTTTCCCTCTTCTTTCTTCCTCTAGTCGTGTTCTGATCATCCAGCCATTGATGCCAGGTCAAATGGGTACTATCTGCAAGTGTGGGTATTCTTGTGCATCTTCCCTCAATGCGTATCAGCTGGATGCTTCATACTCCACTCTAGTCCTCTGGGGCCACGTTCCTGCCCCGGGGCCCAGGAGTCCCCAGGTCTCTTCATACTGCTGGTTAACAGGTCTCAATCCAGGTTAACAGGAGTCTATTGAATGTGGTCGGACTTAGTTCACAACTTCATTGCTGTTTTCCCCCACTTCTCCTTATTGGTGACCAATGTGGTCAGCAGCAGGACCATATGCCTACAGGTGTATTCCATTTGAGTTTCAGCCTTAGAAGGGGGTTTGCCTTGAGGGGACGTGACCACGTGCCTTGATGGCTCCTTGGAGAACAACTTGCTTGTTCTAGTCAGTTGGACTGCTGTTACTGGGTTTTATTTTTTCTGCTCTGAGCCCTTCTTTATCCACGTCTCTCCTTGCCTTGACTCCTACATTGCAGGTCTGTGGGCCCTCTTTGCTGTCTCCTTCCACTCTCCCTGCACTATCTACCTTGCCTATGGCCTTGGCCTAGTCACTGACGATGCCACTTGTCTGTCCCTAGAACCACCTTCCTGTGGATGGCTCCCAGGACTCTCACCTCCACTGTGTCCCAAATTGGTCTCAGCATCGCCTTGAAATCTGCTCCTTGTGGACCTCACCTCAACCAAAGCTCTGGTCTCATACCAGGCATCTCCTGCCGGCCTCACCCGCTTCCTGACACAGCTCAGGAGGCCCATTTTCCTTCCTTTCCACAGCTCCAATTGGTCCAGTCTGTCTTTCCCACCAAGGCTTTGGCCTGCCTCCTCTGGAACGTCCTGTCTCAGTGTCCACCTCCCACCTACCCTCCGAGTGATGACCTGCCTGGGCCCTGGCACAGTTTGGGTTACTTTCAAAGCCTTTTTCTTTGGGGTTTTCATTCAATCCTGACATCTATGGGGTCTGAGTCCTTAACAGCAGGGATTTTGTCTGCCACGTTCACCACAGAATGCCTGGTACCTGCAACAGGGTCTGGTGGTGTCTGTCCAGAGTTCCAGAACGATCCATCACGGAACCATCACTGACCACCTTACTCCCCAGCTTAAAACCCCTTCAGCAACCCCCTAGGTCTACCCTTTTTTTGAATCAGAACCTCGCCTCCCAAATGATAGGGTTTTCTGCAATGGCAGGAACTGACCAAGACTTCATGATCTCCCAGGTGTCTTTAGCAGAACACATTCTGAAAAAACTGGCCATGACTTAATTGGAGGACCTCATCCACCCCAGAAACCCGTTGCCAGTGTGGAGCTGCACTCTGACGCATTAGCCCACAGCGCCACACCAGGACTCCTGACACAGGGTCACTGTGAGTCAGCACGCTGGTGGCGCAGTGGGTTAACTACTAACTGCCAGGTCAGTTGCTGAAACACACCAGCTGCTCTGAGGGAGAAAGATGAGGCCGTTTGTTCCCGATTTACAGCCTCAGAAACTCTGAGGAGTTCTACTTTGTCCCATAGGACCACTGAGCCAGGGTGGGGTCTATGGCAGTAGGTTAACTTTCTTTGAAAGAGCTCCAGGTCCAGTCCTGCATCTCAAAGGAGTGGAGGGTAGACACAGCTTTGGGGGTCTCTGTCTCCCTCTTCCACTCCGCAGTCCTCTTCTTCCCATGACAGCACTCTTTCCGCCCTGCCCCTTAATGCCTTTCCCTTCCCTCGCAACCTCTTTTTGAACCAAAGTCAGCCTTGCCACGTTTTAACATTGTCAGGAACAATTCTTTCTGTTGACACTTTTGAAGATTACACAAGCTTTGCAAAAACTTTGACTGTTAGAAAATGTCTTCACTACATGGAAAAAGGCATTATTTGTACAGAAATGGCTCATACCATAATCGAAGGTTGTACCTTGAGTTTTGTTTACAAAGAACAATATACTACAGACCCACTTCCTTCTTGGAAGCAGCTGCAGAGGACTCCATTGTACGGATGGACCGTAGTTCATTTTGTCCATCTATTGACAGTCATTTGGAATCTTTCCAAAGTTGCCCCATTGCGGACAATGCTGCAATGCACACCCTCCATCACTTTCTCTCTGGGACTGAGTGTCTCTTTAATATTGATCCTTTTTCTCTGGACCCCACATGACAGTGGATGTGTTTAGGGAGCTAGGGGAATGTAAAAGCCTAGTTTGAGCAAGAGCTTGTATATACTCATGCCACACTGCTATGCCTTTGTGAGGTATTTAATCACAGCATTTACACTGACTTACATCTGCAAAGCCACATCACATCTGTGGATGGGCTGGAGACAAAGAGAGTCTATGGAAGGACACCAAGGCCCAGCCCAGCCCAGCCATGCCTTCTATCTTCTAGGAGGTGGCTCTGACTGTATGCTGATGGTCTTGAGTTTCAAACTCTTCTCTGCTCTTCTAGCCAAGGGACAGCAGAAACGTTGCTCGCTGAATCTGCCTCCTATTCCTCATCTGTACAATGGGCATATGCCTCCCAGGGATGATGGGAAGGCTAAATCAGATCATGTACATAAACACTGAGCACAGTATACCCAACAAATGCTGTGGTGTTGTTGCCACAGCGACCCTGAATAGGATTTATGAGGAGTAGCTGGAGCATTTGAACCACTGACCTAGTGGTTGCCACTTCAGTGCTTATCTTATAGTGCCACACTGGGACCCCTAATAAATACTAGCCATGAATACGATTATCCTACCATTCCAAGCCAAAGGAGTCCTTTGATGCAACCAGTAAGCATTCTAACTGGAAGATTGCGGGTTTGAACCCAGCTACCCGTTTCTGGAAGGAGCTCTGGTAGCATGTTGTTGTTGTCAAGTCAATTCCGATCCATAGCGACCCTGTTTAGGGCTTCCAAGGAGCAGCTGGTGAGCTTGAACCGCCGACCTTGCAGTTCAAACAGCTTTGGAGTCTGCGCATTAACCCACAGCGCCACACCAGGACTCCATAGTGCTTATGAATCGGGCTGCTAACCTCAACTTTAGCAGTTCAAAACTACCACCTGTTCCGTGGGAGAAATATGGGGTTTTCTGCTCCTGTAAAGATTTACAGCCTCAGAAACTCTATACAGGGTGGCTATAAGTGGGAACTGACTCTACGGGACACAACCACCACCACCAGTTTCTGGAAGAAAGAACTGGTGATCTGTTACCTATAGATTATAGCTTGGAAAACACTCTGGGGCAGTTCTACTCGGTCACATGGGGCCACTAGGAGTCAAAATCAACTCATCCTAACAACAACCATCCCCAGCCACCAAACTACTCAACTTATCAGTCTCTCAAATGTTAGGATCTCTGTACAAGCTGGGTCCTCTGCTTGGAACATCATTTGTCATCTTGGAAAACCCCTCACTTACTATGATGGTGATGGTGATAGTGGTGGGGGTTCTGACTCATAGCAACCCTGGGTAAATCTTTACAGGAGCAGAAAGCCTGATCTTTCTCCCATGGAGTGGCTGGTAGATTAGGCCTGCTGATTTTGCAGTTAGCAGCCCCATTTAACACCCCCCAAGCTACCAAGGCTCCTTTTCACTTACTACTGTGTCAATAGCTCCATCTGATTCCTAGATCAGCCTGTGGATTCTTCCAGGGAAGAGGCTAGGTGGGATCTGTGAACCCCCAAAGTTCATTCTGGGCTTCCACAGTGCCCTGAAGCACTACCACAATCTCCCTGTAGGCAGTTTTTCTAGTGCCGTCTCTGTGAGAACGGTGAGTTCAGGGACCAAATCTGATGTCTGTCCCTCCCAGGCCCAGCACAAAATGGGGTTCAGATGGGATGAGGCTAGGGGAGGCAAGGAAACAGGGAACCTTGAGGCAACACAGCCTTCCCTGAGTTCCCAGAATCCATCATTCCCCAGGAGGCTGCACCCAGGGTATGGAGAGGGAATGGGGCAGTGAGCTGGGGACACTGGGAGAACTGGCTCCCCTCTGCCTCCTCCCCCAGTGCAGGATGTAGAAACAAGTCCATCTCTCTCCTTCCCTCCAGTCCACCCTATCCCCCCATCTCACCTGAGCTTCCTGCACCTTCCCTTTCTGGGTCTCCAGAGGGTCAGAGGCTGGGGGAGGAGGGGGAGCAGACATGGTTACAGTGGAGAGGGGGGGAGATGGTTAAGGAGGAACAAAGGAGTTCAAAGTGGGGACCAAGAAGACCCACCAAGCTAGTTACACTGGGCTGAGGAGTAGAGGAGGGGATGGAGAAAACCAGATACTATTAGAGTGGAGACTGTAGGGAGGGGAGGTGGCTAATGAGCAAGAGAGAGGCAAGAGAGGGAACAGGTTAGGAAGAAAAAGAGGAGAAAGGAAGGGATATAGGGTACAGAGGAAGAGTTAGTAGTTAGAAAGGGCATGTCAGTGTGTGTGTGCGTGAGCGACGGGGTAGATTTATAGGGTGGACTAAACTAAAGGTGATAGGAAGGGATACTCTAGCAGAGTTTGGGAGAGGAGGTGCAGTAGGGATGTTAGATGTAGGAGAGGCACAGGAACTAGAGGGAAGAGATAGGAGAGAACACCAGGGGTCCCCTAGCATCCTACAGTTGCCCCTAACAACCAGGTACTCTTAGCAACCCGGATAGCAGCAGGAGGGTCCTTAGCAATGAGAATAGAAACACATGCGATCATCAGGAACTTTTAGTAAAGTGGCTCTTAAAACCCTGCGACCCAGAAACCCACCAACCAACTTAGCAACAAGGATCATTTAGGACTGGCCCTTCAAATCCCACTCCCCCATGCAGCCCCCACCTCCCGCATCACCACGCCCGTTCTTGGGCCCCGGGGCCTGTAACACGAAAGCAGGTCCCGGCGCAGCCCTCCCACCGGGGCCCTTCACTCACGGTCCGGCTCGGCCATGGGAGCAGGGCCGGGGCCCTCGGGGCTGTCACCGACTGCTCTGTCCTGTGACGACACCGGAAGGGGCAGGGATGGACGGCGCAGAGAACTACAATTCCCAGAAACCATAGAGGCAACAAACAAGGGATTCCCTCAGAGCCCGGATAGCGTCATTCCGGATAAGGAATAAAAGCAAAGTTTAGACTACGAGTTCCAGAGGGCGGCGCGTCGGCAGCCATGTTAGTAAAGGGCGCCCGGAAATTGTGGGAATGGGTCGAGAGCTGTAGTCGATTAGAACACTCTGATTGGGCATGGGGCGAGATGAGGCGGGACGAGAGCGATTTAGATTACTCTTATTGGGGATAGTAGAGGGAGTGTGGGGGAATTCCCCGCAGGGCGGAAGCTCCTGAGCTCCCGGCAGAGCCCAGCGGCAAGCTGGCTGGTGGGCGGCCTCAGGGGGCCCCAGAGGCTGAGGGGGCCATGGCCGGGGTCGCGTGCTTGGGAAAAGTCGCAGATGCGGACGAGTGGTGCGACAGCGGCCTGGGCTCATTAGGTCCGGACGCAGCGGCCCCAGGAGGACCGGGGCTGAGCTCAGAGCTGGGCCCGGGGCTGTCGTGGGTGCCCCTTGTCTTCGGCTACGTCACTGAAGATGGAGACACGTGAGTGAACCTTAGATTCCCAAACCGGACCTCTGACCAGATCAGCTTTACCTGATTCCCCAGTGATCTGATCTGGCTTCCTTACCCCTATCCCCTAATCTGACCTCTGATCCTTGACATCCAGACCTCTAACCTCTCATCCTAATCTTTAGTAAATCTAATCTCTATCCAATTTGGATCTTAACCCAGTAGTTTATGTCTAAAAACTTCTTTTAACCCGGTAATTTCGGACTTTCCTTTCTTGAACTCTTAATTCTCAGTTCCTGGAACATCTCAAACCCGCGGATCCCGATTTGACAGGATTTGGTCCTGAGACTTTTGTTAGAACTTTCATTCACCTCCTCCTGACCTAACCTCCAGACATGACCTTTGATGATGTGTGAGCCTAGACTTTGATTTCTGAAATTATACTTGGCCCCTGACTCTATCCTGCCTCTATCACTAATTTGCAAATCTTTCCTTCAAAGAAAGCCCCTGAGAGCAGGGAGTCAACCCTTCAACAAACCTTTATTGAACGCCAGGCCTAATTTAGATGCTAGTAAAAAGGCTATTGTGAGGCTGGGTCAGGACTTGGCTTCTGTTCTGTTGTACACAGGAACATTACATGTAGGAACAGACTCAATAGCATCTAACAATAAGGCTGTGAACAAAACAGTCAAAAACATTTATGTCATTATGGTGCATGCACTGACTGGAGTGGGAGTAGACGGAAGGTCAGACAGAAATAAATACAGAGTTTATTGTGGTTAAGTGCCGTGGAGTCAGTTCCAACTCATAGTGACCCTGTATACGGTTTTCGGGAATTGGTGGTGGGTTAGAACCTCTGAACTTGGCGGTTAGGAGTCTAGCGCGTATCCCACAGTGCCACACCAGGACTATTCAAAGATATCAAGTTGTATGGAGGACAAGAGGAAAATTAACAAGAAGATATTTAGGTAGAAGGAACAGCAGTTGTAAAGGCCTGGGGTTTTTTTGTTTGTTGTATTGATTACTGTATTCCCAGTGAGTTGTACAGTGCCTGGCTCTTAATAACCAACCAGTTGCTGTGGAGTTGCTTCTGTCTCATGACAACACAGTCTGTATCAGAGTAGAACTGTGCACCATAAGGTTTTCAGTGAGTGGTTTTTGGGAAGTATGTTTGCAGGCCTTTCACCCTGGGCACTTCTAGGTGGATTCAAACCCCCACCTCTTTGGTTAGCAGCCAAACAAATTAACCATTTTTCTACTCACCGCCTCATTAACCTGTACCAACCTGTTGCCTTTGAGTCAATTGCAACTCCTGGCAACCCCGTATGTGTCCGACTAGAATTGTATTCTGTAGTATTTTCAGTGGCTGAAGTTTTGAAAATAGATCTCCAGGATTTTCTTTTCTCGTTGGCCCCTTGTTGTTGTTGAAGTTAAATGCTGTCAAGTTGATTCTGACCCCATAGCGACCCTGTACAGGGTTTCCAAGGAGCAGCTGGTGAGCAGGAACCACCAATCTTGCAGTTCAAAGGACTTTGCAGTCTGACGCATTAGCCCACATCACCACACAGGGACTCCTTTGACCCACAGGCTCTTAATAACATCAACTTTCTCAAAGAACCAGGTTTTGGTTTTATTCATTGTCTCTTTTTATTTATTATTATTTTTTTTGCTTTTCATCATCAATCTGTTTCATTGATTTCTGTTCTGATCTATTTCTTTGTTTCTTTTTACTTTGGGCTTAGTTTATTCTTCCTTTTCTAATTTCTTAAGTTAGATGCTGAGGTTATTGATTTGAGATTTTTCCTTTTTTTGATACAGGTGTATATAGCTCTATAAATTCCTCCCTGAGTACTGCTTTAGCAATATCTCACAAGTTCTGATATGCTGTGTTTTCATTTTCATTTAATTGAATATACTTTCTAGTTCCTCGTTTGATTTCTTAAACAGTTATTTTGAACTATGTTTAATTTTCCAGTATCTTTCTGTTATTGATTTTATTAATTTAATTTTATGTGGCCAGAAAATACACTTTGTGTAATTAGAAGCCTTTTAAATTTATTGAGACTTGTTTTATGGCCCAGAATATGGTCTGTCTTGATAAATGTTGCATGTACATTTAAGAAAATGTGCATATACTATTGTTGGATGGAATGTTTTCTAAACTTAGTTTAAGTTGGCTAATATTGGTGTTCTGGTAACTATGGTGGTGGTGGTGGTTATATGCCATGGAGTCAGTTCCGACTCATAGCGACCCTGTATATGATTTTCGAAGCTGTACATATTTATGGGAGCAGAAAGCCTCATCTTTCTCCTGTGGAACAGCTGGTAGTTTTGAACTGCTGATGTTGAGGTTGGCAGCCCAACTCTTAACCATTACGCTGCCAGAGCTCCTTTCTAGTGACTAAATCATTGCTTATGTTCTAATTTTTTATCAATTATTGAGGTATCTAGAAATCTTCAACTGTAATTGCAGATTTGCATATTTCTCCTTGTAATTTTGTTAATCTTTGCTTTGTGCTCTGACAATAAGGTCTCTACAGTGATACTAAAATACTCCTTCCAGTTTTCTTGGGACTAGTGTTAGCATGTTATATCTTTTGCCACCTTTTTGTTGTTAACCTGTTTGTTGTTGTTGTTAAGTGCCGTTAAGTCGGTTCTGACCTATAGCAACCCTGCAGAAGGTTTCCAAGGGGCGACTGGTGAGCTTGAACTGACGACCTTGTGGTTCAAACCGACTTTGCAGTCCAGCTCATTAACCCACAGTGTCACACTAAACTCCTAACCTGTTTGTATGTTTTTAATGAAAGCACATTTCTTATAGTTGGGTTTTGATTTTTAAATTCAATCTGACAATAGCTGTCAATTTAATTGGGGGGCGGGGGAGGTTAGACCATTGACATTTAGTGTAATTGTTGATTTGTTGTTGTTAAGTACTGTCAAGTCAGTTTAGACTCATAACGACCTCGTATAGTGTTTCTGAGGTACAGCTGGTGAGTTTGAACCGCTAACCTTGTGATTAGCAGTCCTATGCTGATCTTTTAGCTCCAGGACTCCAGAATACTAATGTTGTTGTTGTTAAGTGCCATCGAGTTGGTTTTGACCCATAGCGACCCTGTATAGGGTTTCCGAGGAGCGACTGGTGAGCACGAACCGCTAACCTTGTGGTTCAAACCGACTTTGCTGTCCAGTGCATTAACCCACAGCGCCTGTCCAGCGCATTAACCCACAGCGCCACACCAGGACCTCTTAGCAATGATAAATTAAAATATAACCATACTAGTAATTGGAGTCCTGTTGTGGTGCTGTAAGATAAGCTCTAGCTAGCTAATCACAAGGTTGGTGGTTCAAATCCACCAGCCTCTCATCAGAAACCCTTCATAGGGTCGCTGTGAGTTTGAACTGACTTGACGGCACTTAACCACCGCAACAGTTAACCTTCTATCTGTTTCATCTGTTTCTTTCCTCCTTTTCTTCCTCCTTTGGGAATAACTGAGTATTTTTTTTCTAAGTCTTATTTTTTGTAAATCTGTTTTATCTCCTTTGTTGGCTTATTAGCTTAACTCTGTTTTGTTATTTTCGTGGTTGATTTAAAGCAGACGAGTTGCCAAACTGTGGCCTATAGGCAAAATCTGTCAGATATCTGTATGTGTAGCTAAGGAGCTTTGGTAGCATAATGGGTTATAACTTGGGCTGCCAACCACAAGGTCAAAGTTTGAACCCACCAGCTACTCTGTAAGAAAAAAAAAAAAAAAATGAGGCTTTCTGCTCCCCTAAGGATTTACAGCTTCAGAAACCTGTTAAGAGTTCCGGGTTTTTACAGTCACTTTTAACCCCATTACCCACTCACAGTGAACTCATATAATCTTGTAAGCATCTTCTTCCACCTTCTTTCACCCAGACCCATCAGGGCAATAATGCTGTTCGGTAGAAGTTTACAAAGACTGTAAGCTAGAAGAAGGAGCTCCGGTAGCATAGTGGTTTACAAGCTGGGCTGCTAACTACAAGGTTAGCAGTTTGAATCTACCAGCCCCTGCAAGGGAGAAAGAGGACGTTTTCTGCTCCTGTAAAGATTTACAGCCTCAGAAACTCCATGACCTAGCACCACCATACACTAAGAATGATTTGTATATTTTTAAAGGGTTTTCTTAAAAAAACAAAACAAAGATGAGGAATACTTCATGACACGTAAAAATTGTATGAAATTCAAGTATCAGTGCCCATAGATAAGTTATTGGAACACAGCCACCTCATGGGTTTACCTGCTGTCTGTGGCTGCATTTGTACCACAACAGCAGAATTGAATAGTTAGGATGGAGTTTGCTGAACCTTGTTTTAAGGTTTATCATATCTAACTGTTAATTTATGATGGTCGATTTCCAGTGATATTATGTCCCATTCACTTACTTTGTTGTTATTGAATGCCGTCGAGTTGGTTCTGACCCATAGCAAACCTGTATAGGGTTTCCAAGGAGCAGCTGGTGGTTTGGAACCGGCGACCTTGTATTTCAAACTGACCTTGCGGTCCAGTGCATTATCCTGAAGCACCGCTCCAAAACTCCTTTCATAGCATATAGTAAAAGAACCATCTATGTATCACTACAAGGTGCATTGAGTCAGTTCTGACACAGGTGACCCTATATGTGTAAGAATAGAACTGGACTCCATAGAATTTTAGAATTTTCAATGGCTGATCATTTGGAAGTTGATACCAGGCCTTGCTTCTGCGGTGTCTCTGCGTGAGCTCGAACCTTCAATCTTCTGCAAGCAGCTGAGTTTGTTAACCATTTGCACCCTCATGGACTCCATATGTTGTTGTTGTAGAGTCAGTTCTGATTCACGGTCACCCCATACGTACAGAGTAGAAAGGCTCCATAGGGTTTTTCAAAACTGTGACCTTTCTAAACAAGATTAAGTCTCTTGAAGTGGGTTTGAACTGCCAACATTTTGGCTAGCAGTTGTGCCTCCCAGAAACCTAGAGACTCCATAGACAATATTACAGTAGTATACTCATTGTTATGTGCCATAGTCAGCTTTGACTCAAAGCGACCCTATATAGGGTTTCCGAGGTACAGCTGGTGAGCTTGATCCACTGACCTTGAGGTTCAAACTGATCTTGCAGTCCAGCGCAGTAACCCGCAGCGCCACACCACTCCTCACTGACTGACTATGTAGGACTCCTGGTATGGTGCTGTTGGATAAATGCTTCGAACCACAAGGTTGGCAGTTCATACCCACCAGCTGCTCCTCGGACACTCTACCCAGGGTCACTATGAGTCAGAAACAATGCGACGGCACTTAACAACAACAACCGAGTTATTCGCCATTTCACATTTATGGTAATGGTGAAAAATCTCCTGACTATTTTGCACATTAGTGAAGACCAAGGTATGAGACGAGAGTAGCAGTGGCGTGATGGATAAAGTTCTGTGTCGACTCAGTGGGTTGGCAGTTCTGTAACGATGAAGTCATCTCGTATTTCCACATAATGCTACTTTCCTTACTGAGAAGTCTGTCTATTTCCACTTGTTTCTCTGGGCCTTTATGCAAATGATCGGATACACTTTACTTATACATGTGCTGTAAACGCTATCCAAATTCTTATTTATTTGTAGTTACTATTTTTGATGCTCTCCATTCCTTTGTACAGATCTGTATTTCCTGGTGTGGTGCTGTAGGATAAGTACTGGACTGCTAACCACAAGGTCGGTGGTTCCAACCCACCAGCCGCTCCTCGGAAACCTTATACAGGGTCACTGTGAGTTGGAACTGACTCACTAGCACTTAATAACAATGTTCTAAGGAGTCCTGTGTGTGGCACTAGAGGATAAGCACTGAACTGCTAACCACAAAGTTGATGGTTTACATTCACCAGCCGCTCCTCAGAAACCCTATACAGGGTCACTGAGTCTGAACCAACTTAATGGTTGTTAACAACAACAGTTTCATTTGATGCCATTTTCCTGAAAGACTTCTTTTTTTAATATAGCTTATGTTGGTTTTGGAGTCCTGACGTGGCGCTGTGAGTTACTGCACTGGACTGCAAAGTTGGTTTGAACTGCTAAGGTCAGCGGTTCAAGCTCACCAGCCGCTCCTCAGAAACCCTATACAGGGTTGCTATGGGTTGGAACTGACTTGACGACACACAACAAGAAAATGTTGTTTTTGTTAAGTGCTGTTGAGTTGGTTTTGACTCACAGTGACCTTGTATAGGATTTTCAAAAAGCAGCTGGTGGGCTTGAACTGCTGACCTTGTGATTCACAGTCCAGTGCTGATCTTATCGTGCCAAACCAGGAGTCCATATGCTGCTCCTTGGAGATCCTATATAGGGTCACTATGAATTGGAACCTACTGGATGGAACTTGACAACAACAACAAATAGTGTGGGTATTGTTAAGTGCCCTCAAGTCGGTTTCAACTCATAGTGACCCTGTATAGGGGTTCTGAGGAGTGGCTGGTGACCTTGAACCTCCAACCTTGTGGTTCTAACTGACCTTGCAGTCAGCGCATTAACCAGCAACACCAATTCATTCAAGTTTTGTGAGTCTGAAAACATCTTTCTTTTGCCTTTATTTAAGAAAGATATTTTTCCTGGGTGAAGAATTCTAGGTTGACAGTCTTTCCCTTACCATCTTTTCTCTTACATTATTTCCTAGGTGGAATCTACGACAATCCTTTTTTTCCTTTATATTTCATGTGATGGTGTCGTGTTCTTCATGTTTCGTGTGCTTGGGGTTCATTGAGCTTCTTGGATCTGTAGTCTTATCATTTTCATTAAATTTGGAAAACAAAAATTTAAGTGTTATTTTCTGACCTCCCGTCTTTCACAGTTCAGTTACCCTTGAAATTTTCCCACAATTCAGTGCTGCTCTTTTCATTTTTATTTATTTTTCCCTCTGTGTTTCATTCTGAATAATTTCTATAGCTGGATCTTCAAGTTCACACCCATTTTTCCTCTCCAATGTCTAATCTATTTTAATCCCATGCAGTATAATTTTTATCTTAGATGCTGTAGTTTTCATATATAGGAGTTTGATTTGGGTCTTCGTCTTTTAGCTTCCATTTCTCTACTTAAAGTTTTAAATATATGGAATGTTGTTGTTGTTGTTAAGTGCCGTCGAGTCGGTTCCGACCCATAGCGACCCTGTACAGGGTTTCCGAGGGTGTAAATCTTTA